CAGCGCGACGACGCTCAGCAGAGAGTTCAGCGGAAAGAACGCGGAGCTCATCATCCACCTCCTGTGCGTCTGCTTCAGGCATGCCCAGCTTTGAGCCGCGAAGTCGAACTCGCTCCGCCATTAGTTGACGACGACGCTCAGCACTCTCCTCATATTCAGGACTGGAACGACTAGATACAGAAAAAAATACGTTGCCTAGCAGTAATGACCGCATCCTCCAACCGTTCGAACAGCTCATCTGGGGGTGCTTGATCTTTCAAGAAGGCGAAAGGTAACTTGTCGATCTCTTCCTTCGCCGCGGTGAGAAAGTCACGCCTGCGCATGCCACTCCGCAGTGGCGCCATCATGGGATCGCGATTCCAGCCAACGCGAGCCGACGATGGTCCTCCAAGCAAGTCCGCTTTATCATAAGTCATCGTATACATGACTGGTATATGATCCCGAGGGGATTGTCCTCTAACCGCCTGCAATTCCCCCCCCCCGGCCCGGCCCTTTCAGCGGGTAGCGCCCTCTCCCCAAATGTCGCATAGCCTAGTTTTTTTTTTTTTTTTTTTTTTTTTTTTTTTTAAAAAAAAAAAAAAAAAATGTATATATATATATATAAAACGTAACAAATGCGACTCGAATCACCATCTGAACCGAAAAAAACTTGTTGTAACTGGTCAGCCGTGTTGCCCGCCACCATGTAGTGGGACCCCTTGCATTATCTGAGAAGTTGCCCTGCACCTTGAGGAAGCTGCTCCTGCGTGGGGACATCTATCACCACCGTTGCATCAACATCTTCCCACCCATGGGGTCCACGAGACTGACCAATACCATCGTTGAGATCACAATATAGCAGCGGGGTACACCTATGTGGTAGTTCGCTCAGCACCATTGAAATCCATGCCACCAAGAGACGCACTGTAGCCAACTACTGAGGCCGATGAGCGCGATACCTTGGGCGTGGAGGAAAATACACCACCATCGGACATATATCAATTGGACCGCTTTTTGCTCTGGCCGCCAGCGCTCTCCCTCTGGCCTCAGGGGGACTGACCCATGTTCTCATAATACTCTGCTCTCGGATATGACGACCAAATCCCAGTGCACACCCGCAGCTGTTGTTACTATACGGCGAGTTGTAATACGGCGATTCCAGAACCAAGCGCCCTGCACATTTTTGGCTAAGAACTCGCAAACCCTGCTGCGGATGATCCACACACTTGGTCCCTGCCAAAGCCACTGCGTCGAAATTTCTAGTCTCGCACATTCTCTCACTCAGACGATCGCCGCTCGCCCACAGCGGGTTGAAACCCAGGAAACGGAGAGAAGACATTGCATCCCCCCGCCGAAGGCCCCACCTCGCCCGACGAGTGGGAGACTCCACCAGGTAGCCCTCCTGGCGGCGCGGCAAGCGGCGCCCTGTGCGCAAGCAGCTCGGGCCGCTTGGAGGAAGAGGAGGAGGAGGAGGAGGAGGAGGAGGAGGAGGAGGAGGAGGAGGAGGAGGAGGAGGAGGAGGAGGAGGGTGAGGAGGAGGGAGAGGAGGACGAGGGGAAGGAGGAGGAGGAGGAGGAGGAGGAGGAGGAGGAGGAGGAGAGGACCAGTCTAAACCCGAGGCTCATCGACTATGTTTCATTACATCCTCCCTCCAAGGTTCGTTTTCACTGAAGGCAAAAGCCCGTTGGAAGACAACTCGATTGAACATCCTGAACTATGCCAGAACACTTTTCCTGGGAACTCACCGCCGCGAATCCCCGTGGTTGTTTCGTCAGAAATGAAGACATTCCTGGAGGCCTCTCGCGGCAACTTGAGACCCGATCTACGTCGGATTCACGTCGGATCCACGCCGGGTTCACATCGGACTACGTCGGAATCACGTCGGACTGACGCCAGAGCTTCGCCGCCCGAGCGTTGACCCACGGCTTACGGAGCTGAAGTGTGGACTAGATAATACATCCATTACGCGCCGCGCGAGGCCTCCAAGATGTTCCTCATGAAATCTTGACGGTCCTGAAGGGTGCCAGAAAGCTGTTCCTGGGACATCAGCACCACGAACCAACGTGACTGCTGCGCACCGACAATCCGACATCATGCCAAAACACACCTTCTGGGACGTTAGCCATGAACTCTTGCGACGGATGTGCCTGGCGCTACGGCAAAAGCCACATCTTAAAAACCACCCGCCCTCCATGCGTGAACCTCCTGCATGTTCAACGACAAAATTGCGTGGCGCTAAAGAGAGCACCACCTTCTCAGAAGGAGTCGCCCTCCGGCCGTGAAATTCTTGCAAACTTTTGAAACGAATGTGCGCGGCGCTTAGGCGAGAGCCACGTTCTGAAAACGACCGGCCCTGTGTGCGCGGCGCTCAGGTGAGAACCACATTTTGAAAACCACCCGCCCTCCATCCGTGAAGCCCTTGCACATCTTCAGCGTGAGGATCACAAATGGTGAGGAAGCCCAAGGCGAAACGCTCGGCCCGCCCCACCGACACGCCGCGGGGTGCGACAGGGAGGAGCTATACACAAGGAAGGGAATTCGAGCAATTAGGGGATCGACTACAGAATTCATTTACCCCAAAATTGGTTTTCACGCCGAATTTTCGAAACACACGTTGACCATCGATTTGCGAAACGTTCTAAGTTTTCATCGTAGATTCGGAAGGAAAAATCAATTTTGGATTAATTCTGTAGTCGATCCCCTAATCAAGGAAATCGAGGAGGCGGGGTAGGAGGAGAAGGATCGAGGAGGACCGAGAAAGAGGAGGATCGAGTATAAGGTGCCCAATTGTTTCATCTCTCCAGCCCCCAATTTAGAGGTACACAAACGGTGTAAACATACACTTTTGCTGGTCCGCGCGGATTTCTGGATATGAATGCGCTGGACCCCCTCCCTCGCGCGCGGAGCGCGCCAGGGGCGGCGCCGGAGGCGCTGCCAGGGGGGGCCCAAGCGCCGATCCAAGAAATCCGCCTTCTTCGAATCTGGGCCTTCCAAAGCCCAGAGCACCCTGGAGGCAAGCAGGGTGTTTGTTGGCATGGGCTTCCACTGTACCTCTCCAGCCCCCATCTGGGCCTCTTGAGAGCTGCCCGTGCCCGAAGCCCCCCCTCCCAGGGGATCTCCTGGACCACCGGGAGAGACCGTCGCTCAGCCAGGGGCGCGCGCGGAGGAGCGGCGGCGGCACTGCCGGCCAGCAGCTGCGGCCCCTCGGGCTCGGTCCGAGGCGCTGCCGGTGCCAACTCGGCTCAACCAGACCTTGCCCCAGGGGGAAAAAGGGAAGAGGAAAAGGGCAGATGGAAAGAGAGAAAGAGAGAGGGAGAGAGGAGCGAGGAGAGATGAGGGAGGAGGAGGAGGAGGAGGAGAAGGAGGAGGAGGAGGAGGGATGAGGAGGAGGAGGAGGAGGAGGAGGAGGAGGAGGATGAGGAGGGAGGAGGAGGAGGAGGAGGAGGAGGAGGAGGAGGAGGAGGAGGAGGAGGAGGAGGAGGAGGAGGAGCGCATGCCACTGAGGGGAGAGGGAGAGAGAGAGAGAGAGAGAGAGAAATAGAAAGGGTCCTACTAGTTCAAATTGTCCCCAGAGGGGCCCATCGGAGAGGACCTCTTCTGACACTCTGGCAGAGGGCCAAACCCTGCCAAGGGCCAACGACAGGCCCCCCCCCCCTTGGACAAAAAACTCGTCTTCATCCTCTACTAGCAGGTCGTTGGCCTGCTGCTTGACACGAAACTTGCTGCCGAGGTTCCGTGCCTCCCCTTTTTTAAAGCCGAAAGCCTGGAGGCAATCAGACAGGCACAAATCGTGCCGATTGAAAAACCGTGGAGCAGGTTCGCTCCTCCCTCCTCCAGGCTGGGCCTAACTCCGCTCTCCACGAACCTCCGCGCGAACAGCACCCGCACCAGGACCCCAGGGGTGCACCCGGGGCCCAGCCTGAAGGGTCGGTTAGGATGCCTCAACCGAGAAATGCTGGACTCGTTTTTGCGGCCGGCCCCGACAAGGGCCACCTGCGACCCCAAGCAAGGGCCTTTCAAACCTCTGGTTCCTTGGGAGGCCGTGGCGTAGTCACCACACGTGGAACAAAACAGAAGCGGCGGAACCCCGTCCGACAAAACAGCAAACTGAAGCAGACAGTGTCCACCCTCTCTCCAGGGGGTCTCGCCAGGCTCGCCCAGCACCCTAGACACATCGTTCACCTGCGGGGCAGACATCGACGAGGCAGGCGTGGAGACAGGAGGAGCTTCGGCAGCCTCCTCACGCCGAGCCGCCTCCAGGGCCCCATCCCGACCAGCATCTCCCTCGAGAGACGTCGAGCTGAGGCTCTGAGCCCCAACATTGTCAAAACGGCCTTCGTCGCTGGCTCTCCGGCGGCTCTTCGGGACGATCCGGGCACCCCAAGGATGCTCTCGACGAGGCGCACCTGCGAAAACCTTCCGAAGCCCTGGAGAAAAGCAATGAACACTTTCCAAAACCTGCCCTCACCTCCTAGAGGCCTCCCAAATGGGGTCCGCGTGGATGGGGTCGGAGGATCGCGCCACATCGCCGATACATCGGCGATGCATCGGCGACGTCGGGGATGCATCGGCAACGCCAGCGTGAAACATATCGTGCTCCACATCGAGCTGCATCACCGATGCATCGGCGATGCGGCGCGATCCTCCGACCCCATCTACGGTCGGACCTAGGACGCTCGAGGGCCCCCCCAACATGCACAGGAACACCCAACAAGCACGAAAAATATAGGGCACCCTCGAACCGACCTCGATCGTACAGTAGGAGCTCGACCACAAGAAACCTTCCATCAGAAACCCAACCCTGAGACCCCAGGGCGTTCATTGCTTTTTACGCGTTCTCCATCGCCAAACCGTCGAAACCCAAAAAACGACCCAGGGCACCCTGGAGGCAGACGGGGTGATTCTTGGGTTGGGGTTCCAATGTGCACATCTCGGTCCGACCGCACGCGGACCCCACCTGGGAAGCTCGAGCCCCCTGCGCGCGCCGCCCAGTTTCGAGGCGCAGGGCGGCGGGGCGGCGCCCCTGCACGTCGACGCCCGCGGTGCCGGCCGCAGGGAGCACCTCCAGGGCGGCCCAGACGCTGCCGGAACCGTCGGCGGCCGCCTGCTCTGGGCGGGGCGAACCGTCGCGGCCCGCGCCTGCGTCCCCTGCCGCCCCGTTGCCCTCCTCCTCCTGGTCGTTCTCCTCATTCTTTGTCAGGCTGGGCGGCCTGAGCTGCGCAGCTGTAGCGTTCTGTTCTGGTGGTCGAGCCCCAAAACCAATCGAGTCCGATTTGGCCATGGTGAGCTGGCGGCACGTGAGGAGCTGGACGAGCATGAAGTCAACGTAAAGCAGAGAAGCCCTGGTGGGCACTGAGTAACGTTGCCATCGCCTGGGGGAGAGAGAGAGAGAGAGGAGAGAGAGAGAGAGAGAGACAGAGAGAGAGAGAGAGAACCGAACACCAGAACTTGACCCGAAAATGTCAGGGGGAGGCCACGAACTAGAGTGGACGCAATACGCATGCAAAAAAGGAGAGGGGACAGGTAACGCAGCAAAAGGGCTTGGCTGCAAAGTGTCCTGTCCCTAACCATCCCAATGCCACATCCCAATATCACATCCCCGTCATCAGCCGAGCCAGTTGAAGAAAACAGGGAGCAGGCGACGGCGAGTGCAATGGCGATACGTTGGGAGCCGCTGCCCAGGGCGACTGCGTACTATTGGATTGTGCTGTGGTCGGTAATCCACACTGAGAATTGCAACGAAACGTGTCCCCTACCGAAATGCCGGAATTTCAACGAACACCATCCGTTAGTAAAAAAACTGGGGGTTGAGACTAGCAGACGATCCATATAGGTAGGGGAGACGTGGCTGGCACAGACGGCACTGGCTGGCCATACGGCTCACTTAAGTATATAACTTATCTGTAAGGCTGGTTTACGAACAGCGGGAGAGAAGGCGTGACGAACACCAAAGCTTGAAGGGTGGCGTGCTAAGCTCTGCGTGCCTCCACCTCGACAACCTCCCCTCCGTAATGACTCCCCCGCGTCCCAGAGGTCAGTCAGGCTGGTGAATGAGGCTGGAATAGTGAGCGGGCTGCTGATGTAAACGCACTTTGCTGTGGCTGGAAGTGATAAGTTGATGTTGTCCACTGCGTGTGCGAGTGAAGCTTGAAACTTGATCTTCTGAGCGTTGGTGGGCTGGCCTAGACGGTACTGGTTGGCCTGAAGTAGGCTACGCAAAACGACGTCCATCTCCCCCACCACCGCTCCACCTCTGACCCCGCACCCACCAAAAGGTCTGTCAAGTTGGTGAAATAAGCTGTAAAAGTAGAAAACTGCTCATACAAAACAACGATGTGCCTAGGCCTCCGGTCGTTACACATTTTGTGAGATTGCCAGGCATGTGCGAGCGAGGCTTGAAACGAATCCGCTAAATTATAATATGCTGGCTTAGGTCGGCACTTGCTGACCTGATGTCTGGGCAGCGCCAAACGATACAAACAACACCCACCCAACAACCTCACACCCAACAACATCACCTCCTCGTCCTCCTCCTCCTCCCTCCTCCTCCTCCTCCTCCCGCCTCCTCCTCCTCCTCCTCCTTTTCCTACTCCTTCCTCCCCATTCCCTCCCTAATTCCTCCTCCTCCTCCTCCTCCTTCTCCTCCTCTTAATGTCTGCTTGTGATCAACGAATCCGTGGTGTGTGTGTGTGTGTTTTAAAGAAAAAGAGGTTTCCTTGCTCGGGCGAATCGCGGGGGGGGCGCCCACCAAATTGAAACGCACGGCGGCGGCACTGGTGATTAGCGCCGGCGCCAGGCCGACAGCAGGGCGACAAGCGCGGCGCAAACGGCGCCACTTCAACGGAGGCGGACAGCAACGCCTCCGATATAGCGGGGCGCTTGGGCCAAAACGGTTGCAAACAGGAAATAACAAGGAGGCCGGGGAAAGAGGCACCTCGGCCACCGGGTGGTGCCGACATGGCTACAACCAAAAAAGAAAAGGGGGAGGAGCGGAAAAAGCAGGCGGAAAGGGTTCCTCCTTCTCGTCCTCCCTCCCTCCCCCCTCCAACGCAGCGTCCGACGACGACGACGACGACGACGACGACCGACGACGACCGACGACGACCGACGACGACGACGCCGACGACGACGACGGTGGCAGCGGCGACAGCGACGGCGACGGCGACGGCGGACGACAACGCACTGCGGATGCTTCATGGGGGGGGGGGGGCGGGGGTGCTGCGCATGCCCGCTGTAGTCGTTCGTCGACGACGACGAAAACGACGACGACGATAACGGACGACGACGCACTGCAGATGCCCCAGCAAAAGGGTGCCGCAATGGACGACAATGACGGCGACGACGACGACGGCGGCGACTGCGACGACGACGCGCTGCGGATGCCCTATGGGGAGGTTGCTTTGCTGCTAAGGCCTGGTGTAATCGTCGACGACGACGACGAGTAGGCCCGGTGAAGGCGACGACGACGACGAGACCGATGACGAGGACGAGGAGGACGAGGAGGACGAGGATGAGGACAACGGACGGCGGACCGCGACGGCCACGACGATGACGACGACGCACTGCGGATACCCCATGGGGGGGCTGCGCAGGCCCGGTGTGGTCGACGTCGACGACGACGACGAGGACGACCACGACGACCACGGACGACGACGACGACGACCACGACCACGACGACGACGACGACGACAACGTCGACGTTGACAATGACGACGACGACGGCGGAGATGACGACGCACTGCGGACGCCGCATGGGGGGGGGGAAAGGGGATGCTGCGCAGGCCTGCTGCAATCGACGACGACGACGACGAAGGCGACGACGACGATGGAGAAAAAAGTCGCCTCGGTTGTATAAGACCCCTATAACAACTTCTGTACAAAAGGCAACCGTTTGAGGCTGTCATGCAAATGGGGGTACACGATCCCCTCGGCGGCGCCCGCGACGACCCCGTTGCGCGCGTGATGAAAAATGTTTCGCGCCCCGCGGGGTCTATTCATCAGCGCCCCGGGGGGGGGCATCATTTGTTAATCACAAGCTGACATTACTCCTCCTCCCTCCCCCTCCCCCTCCCCCTCCCCCTCCTCCTCCTCCTCCTCCTCCTCCTCCTCCTCCTCCTCCTCCTCCTCCTCCTCCTCCTCCTCCTCCCTCTCCTCCCTCCTCCACCTCTGCCTCCTCCTCCTCCTCCTCCTCTTCCTCCTCCTCCTCCTCCTCCTCCTCCTCCTCCTCCTCCTCCTCCTCCTCCTCCTCTTCCCCTCCTTTTCAACCTCCCCCCTCCTCCTCTTCCCCCCTTCCTCCTCCTCCTCCTCGCCCTACTGGTCCCTACTGTGGATCCCTGTTAAGGTGCGTGCCATGCCGAGGGTTGTCGCAAGGGCAGTGCGGCGTCCGTCGAGGGCCACGGGCCGCATCAGACGGTTTGGCGACTTGGATGCTTCGCTCCCCAGAGTTACCCGGCGGCACTCTCTATGGGCGGAAACTTGGCAGGTGGCAAGGTAAGCAGCAAAAACCACATCAGACGAACTCCCACGGGACCGATTCCGACTCTGGTCCATCCCCGAGTTGGCCGCCCGAGCGAGCTCGAGCTGAGGGGTCCTGCGGGTGGCGAAGGTGTCACGGGGTGGAAAAAACCGGGAGCGCCACCCCTCCAGAATCCATTGTCGAAGCAGTAGCCCGGCTCGCTTCCCGGCGCTTCTCACATCTAAATGGGGTCGGAAGATCGCGCCGCATCGCCGATGCATCGGGGATGCGGAACGATCTTTCGACCCCATTTGCTCGGACCCCATTTCTCGACATCGCTCGGACGGCCATTTCCCGTGCAATGTTCGATTCCGTGCGTGTATTCTACCGCGAGATGATCCAAAATGCTCCTCGATGCCGAGGATTTAAATGCATACGTCCGAGCGATGCCAAGCGCTTGTGAGGCCCAGGCCTCAGCCATCTCCCGGTCCCCCTCCACGCGCCTCCCTCTCCTCCCGCTCCCGCCTGCCTCCCCTGCGCCCTCTCCTACTTCCCCCCCTTCACCCTCCTGGCCTCCATCGTGCTCCTCCTCGTCCTCCTCCCTCCTGGCCTCCATCGTGCTCCTTCTCGTCCTCCTCCCTCCTGGCCTCTATCGTGCTCTTCCTCGTCCTCCTCCCTCCTGGCCTCCATCGTGCTCCTCCTACCCCCCTCTCTCCCCTCCCCTCCGCCGCTCCTGGTCTCCATCGTGCTCCTCTTCGTCCTCCTCGTGCTGCACATACCTATGCTCGTGCCAGTGTGAGGGGGGACGTTGGGAGAGAGGCTCATGGGGGGGGGCATCGAGCTGGAATCTGCGATGCATCGACTACAAATCGGCGGCGCTAGGCCCCGATAGCGAATTCGCGCGCTCCTGGACGGGGTGGGCTATCAAACCCTCATCGGCAATGAATGGGCGTTCTGGGGGTCGATGCGCTCCCCCCTGGATCTGCGCCGCTTCGTCTTCGTGCCATGTATATATATATATATACACGCGCACAAGGCTGCAGTGGCGCTTCGCGCCATGCACCTTGTTCCTTGAAGTTTCGGAATGGTTGGCCCGTTGTGCCATCCTTTTTTCCATTTGAGCCGCGGTCCGCTGGTTCGTACTTCGGAGAGGCGCAGGAAGAGCAGAAAGAGTGGCAATCAACCTGGGACGGGCCAAAACTGCGAGTTGGAGGCCGCGGGCGCATGGAATGGCGCGTATGAGTGGGGGCCGTGCGGGAAACAACTGGAATCCCGGGTTCGCGACCGGTGCGGCTATTCTTCAAGGAATATCAGATGAAGGGGGCGCGGAGCGGCGGAGTGGTGCGATTTCGAAGGCGGCGGGTTTGACGGGCAGGGTGTTGGTCGGCTCGGCTCTTATGAGCCGTCGGGGCCTCCTTTTGAAGGCCGCTGGGCCGCCTTGGGGCGCTGAAGCCCTTCGAGTGGGTTCGCAGGGGTTCTCCCGGAGCCTTGTGGAGCGGTCTGACGCTTGCTGTTGTGGGGCCGTTGCGCCCTCCTGCGTCCGCTTCAGCAACGCTCGCTTGCTCCATTTACGGAGGAGCGGAGGAGGAGGCGGAGGAGGAGGAGGAGGAGAATGAACAGGGCGGAGGAGGAGGATTTCCCCACATCGGCTGCATGCAACAGACGCTCGTGCAGGACGGCCGCTACATGCTAGCAGTCGTTGACTCGCACATGACATGCAGGCCCGGTTGGATTGGTGCAGCTGGGTTTTGGAGAAGGCATCAGCTGGCAAAGTTTCGCAACAGTCGGCGCACGTAAAAAACAATCTCCTTATGACGAGGCATGTTGCAACTGTCGCCCGCACTGAGCCCGAGGCTACGGATGCACTGAATAACGCAAATTCAGCGGAGTGACTGTAAATCTGCTGGAATCCTGGGTTGACAACGGAATTTCCAGAAAAATGGTTGCGCACCCGGGATTGTGGCCTCCTCCTCCTCCTCCTCCTCCTCCTTCCCCTCCTCCACCTCCTCCTCCGCCTCCTCCTCCTCCTCATCCTCTTCCTCCTCCTCGTTCTCCTTCTTTCTCTGCCTTCTTCTCCTCCTCCTCCTCCTTCTTCTCCTCCGCTTAAGCCAATGGAGAATTAACGATTTGGAAGCTTTTTAGTGCTTCGCCGGAGCTTCCCAGGGAGCCTCCCGAAGCTCTTTGGAGCTCTCTTGGGGCCTCCTTGGGTCCTTTCGGGGCGGGAGGCTCGTATTTTCAGTTATCTGGTCCTCCCTGGGGCCTTTCTTTGGGCCGTCTCGGAGCGTGCGTGGACCGTCTTGGACCGTCTTGGGGCGCGTCTTGGACCGTCTTGGGGCTTTAACGGAATTTCCCCAAAAATGGTTGCGAACCCGGGATTGTGGCCTCCTTCTCCTCCTCATCCTCCTCCTCCTCCTCCTCCTCCTTCCCCTCCTCCACCTCCTCCTCCTCCTCCTCATCCTCTTCCTCTTCCTCGTTCTCCTTCTTTGTCTGCCTTCTCCTCCTCCTCCTCCTCCTCCTCCTCCTCCTCCTCCTCCTCCTCCGCTTAAAATAATGGAGAATTAACGATTTGGAAGCTTTTTGGAGCTTCGCCGGAGCTTCCCAGGGGGCCTCCCGAAGCTCTTTGGAGCTCTCTTGGGGTCTCCTTGGGCCCTTTCGGGGCGGGAGGCTTGTATTTTCAGTTATCTGGTCCTCTCTGGGGCCTTTCTTTGGGCCGTCTCGGAGCGTGCGTGGACCGTCTTGGACCGTCTTGGGGCGCGTTTTGGACCGGCTTGGGGGCTTCTTGGGCGGTCTTGGAACGTGGGAATCCCGAAAAAGCGAGGACGCTGAAAACATTGGAAAACTAATGGGAAAATAACATTTTTGAATGTTTTTGGAGCTTCACCGAAACGTCTTAGGGGGCCTCCCGAGGCCCTTTGGAGCGCTCTTGGGGCTTCCGTGGACTCTTTCGGGGCGGGAGGTTCGTATTTTCAGATCGTGGTCCCCCCCTAGGGCTCCTCTTTGGGCCGTCTTGGAACGTTCGTGGGGCCATCTCGGACGCGTCTTGGGCTGTCTTGGGGCTTTCTCAGAGCGCTCTGGGAGCCTCTTGGGCCGTTGTGGGGCGGTTTTGGGAGCTTCTTGGGCGGTCTTGGAGCGTCGGACACCCGAAAAAGCGAGGACGCTGAAAACATTGAAAAACCAATGGAAAAGTAACAATTTGAGATGTTTTTGGAGCCTCACCGGAGCTACTTCGGGGGCTTCCCGAGGCCCTGTGGAGCTCTCTTGAGGCCTCCTTGGGCCCTCTCAGGGCGGGAGGCTCGTAGCCCTTTGGGCGTGAGTGGTTTAGAGAGCCCGCTCTGTCCTCAACCCCCCTTCTCCCCCCTCGGGGAGGGGTTTACCCCTCCCCCTACCCCCTCCCCCTGGGCCTGGAGAGGGGGTTCCGCGGGTCGTTGGAGGGGTCTTTTTCGACTCCTGGGAGGGCTAAAAAACGACACCCCTCACGAGGATTCTGGCCCCGACGGGGGGCCGGAGAAAAAACCCTCTCCTCTTCTGTGAAGCCAGAAACATTGATTTTACGATGGTTTTGGCCCCATTTTGGCCTTCTGAGGGGGCAGCGCTCCTCGTCCTTCATAGCAAAATCATTGATTTTACGAAGGTTTTGGCATCATTTTGTCCTTCTCAGGGGGTAGCTCTCATTTGCGCTTCTGAGGAGGTCGCAAGAGGCACCAAGATGGCCCCAAGAGGCCCCCAGGAGGCTCCCAAAAGGCCTCCAAGAGGCCCCCCAGAGGCCCCCAAGCGGCCCCAAGAGGCCCCCAAGAGGCCCCCAAGCGGCCCCCAAGAGGCCCCAAGAGGCCCCACGAGGCCCCAAGAGGCCCCCAAGAGGCCCCCAAGAGGCCCCCAAGAGGCCCCCAAGAGGCCCCACGAGGCTCCAAGAGGCCCCCAAGAGGCCCCACGAGGAGCCCGAACGACTCACACCAGGACGAGGGGCCCGAACGACTCACACCACGAAGAGCCCGAACGACTCACACCACAAGGAGGGGCCCGAACGACTCACACCAGGACGAGGCGCCCGAACGACTCACACCACGAGGAGCCCGAACGACTCACACCAGACGAGGGCCCCGAACGACTCACACCACGAGGAGCCCGAACGACTCACACCAGGAGGAGGAGCCCGAACGACTCACACCAGGACGAAGGGCCCGAACAACTCACACCACGAGAAGCCCGAACGACTCACGCCAGGACGAAGAGCCCGAACGACTCAAACCACGACGAAGAGCCCGAACGACTCACACCAGGAAGAAGGGCCCGAACGACTCACACCAGGACGAGAGGCCCGGAGATATGCGGGGGCAGGCGGAAACACGCCTGAAAAACACGACTGTCGGCATGCTTCGCAAGAGTTGCTGTTTTGAGATGGGCTGGTGGGGATACGCGAAGCGTGAAGAATTTGAGATGTTTTTGGAGCCTCACCGGAGCTACTTCGGGGGCTTCCCGAGGCCCTGTGGAGCTCTCTTGAGGCCTCCTTGGGCCCTCTCAGGGCGGGAGGCTCGTATTTTCAGTTCGTGGTCCCCTCTGGGGCCCCTTTTTGGGCCGTCTTGAAGCGTTCGTGGGCCATCTCGGGCGCGTCTTGGACCGTCTTGGGGCACTCTCAGCGCGCTCTGGGAGTTTCTTGGGCCGTCTTGGAGCGGTTTTGGGAGCTTCTTGGGCGGTCCGGGAGCGTCGGAAACCCGAAAAAGCGAGTACGCTAAAAACATTGAAAACCAATGGAAATTCAATGATTTTGTTCTCTCGGACCCCCTTTGAGAACGGTCTTGGGGCTCTCGCGGAGGGTCTTCAAGGCTACCCGGGTGCTATCCTGGACTGTCTTGGGTGTCTCTGTGGGCTTGCGCTGATCGATTTGGCACTGCCGCCCGCCTGCGTGCACGCCTTGGAAAGGATTTTCGGCCGCCCCCGTGGCACGGATCCGGGGGGTCCCGTTTCGGGGGGGGGGGGGTCCGCACCCCCGGAATTATAAAAGTAGAGAAAAGGGAATATATGACCTCCGACGACCAATCGGGGCGATTTCGGCACCCCTGGAACGTTCTCGATGAGGCGCAGCTGATGGAAACCACCCCAGGTCCCGATGGCAAATCCGCACGCTCCTGGGCGGGGTGGGCCAAAAGCTCCCTATCAGCCATGAGCGGGCGATTGGGGGTTTATGGCCCTATCGGCCCCCAATCGCCAATCCATCGCCGATGTCTATCGGCGGCCTATCGCCGAGCTTTTGCCCACGTGCGGATTCTCATCGGAGGCATATCGCCGATCTGTCGTCGATGTGTCGCTGATTTCAAGTCGATGCTCCCCCCTGATCCGATCCCGCCCCAACGTCCCCCCTCGCATGGGCACGAGCACGGGGACCACGAAGAGGACGAGGAGAAGCACGATGAAGGCCAGGAGGGAGGAGGGATGGGATGAGCAGGAGAGGCAGGCAGAGCTCCTCAACGCCTGTCGCCAACGCGTACGAGGAGTCGCTGCCGGTGTTTTTAGCCCGAGCGCGGCTGCGTGCAGGCTCTCTGACGCTGCGTGTTGAGGCGCCCCACAGCCGGCCTGAGGAAAAGAGGCAGGCAGAAAAACATTCGGGGGTTGCGGCCAAGAGGAGGAGGAGGAACCGGTAGTCGTCGTGCGCTGGCGGCCAGACTGTTCGAGGTATCACACCCCCTCTTTCTTTCTCGAGGCCTACTTCACATGTTGGGCGGCTGGCTACCCAATTCAAGCGTGAATTTCCTCACAGAACCGACCTCTTCAACTAGAGCAATCGATTCAGCCGTGAAGGAAGAACTCCGATTACCGATAAGAGTGCCTGCTACCACCATCGGGGTCTTCACTGCGCAGCCGCTGCCCGTGCCCGCGCTCGCGCAGCCGAGGCCGCCGAGGCGGCCGCCTGCATGCTCACCCGGGCGCCGCCCCGGAGCGTGAAGTCGAGCCTGGTGGCGGTGGCCCTGGTCACCTGCCACGCCCGCGGGCGCCGCCGCCCAGGGGGGAGGACGGAGGGAGAGAGGAGGAGGGAGGAGGATAGAAGCGGAGAAAGGGGAGGGAAGTTGAGGGAAAAGGCGGAGCAGGAAGAGGAGGAGGAGGAGGAGGAGGAGGAGGAGGAGGAGGAGGAGGAGGCGGAGCATCTAGTACTCCGCGGCCAAACACACCCCATCAGGCATGCAAACCACCCCTGACTGCACAGCAAGGCGAACGAGGAGAGAACGGAGGGGAACGCCTGCCAGCTCAGCCAGCTCAGCGCGGTGGCACTCAGGGTCCGCGGGGAACGCCCCCGGCCCAGTGCCACCACCAAGGCACGTAAAGAAACCATCAACGCCTGCTGAACGGTCCACGGGGAACAAAAATCCCCGAGCCCGTGTTTTCCACATGGCACATAACATCATCATCAGCATCATCACCTTCACCCCATCACCACCACCATCATCATCAGCATCATCACCATCACCACCACCACCACCATTATCATCATCACCACCCCACCACCACTACCACCACCATCATCATCATCAGCACCCCACCACCACTACCACCACCATCATCATCACTATCACTATCACCATCACCATCACCATCACTGTCATCATCATCATCATCATCATCATCATCATCATCATCATCATCATCATCATCATCATCATCATCATCATCATCATCATCCTCATCCTCATCCTCATCCTCATCCTCATCCTCATCCTCATCCTCATCCTCATCCTCATCCTCATCATCCTCATCATCCTCATCATCCTCATCATCCTCATCATCCTCATCATCCTCATCCTCATCATCTTCACCTGTAGGAGCTCCTTTAGGGCCTGCGCGGACAGCCCGCCACCCCGTATCACCAGGGTGGCACATACTCCCCAAATAGAGTTTGATCCCTGGGCTCTACCCAAGGAGAGATCAGTCTGTTCACTGGCCTCCCCATTGTTGCGCGTCCTCCCGACCTCATTGTGAGCGGGGCGCTCAGCAGGTTCTGCCCAGGGGTCCCTGACGTCTTGGGTCTGACCTGGAGATTCACCTTCGCCTTGAGAATCCCCTTGCGAACCCGTAGTGGTAGCCCCCGACCCAGTACCTTCCTGTAGGCACATCCCCCCAAACAAATTGTGGAGGAACCAACGCCTACACCTTCACCTTCGCAAAGCCGATCTCCTCGGGAGTCCGCGAAGAAAGCCCCCGGTTCCGTGTTCCTTGCAGCAGGCGCATACTCTCAGCACCAACAGATTCAATCCCACTCCTGTGTCTCACACTGGACTTCAACAAAATGAGTCTCGCCTACTTACTATCGGCGGTGGACAAACCTCCTTTTGGTAAACCACCCTTTGGTGAAAACGGCCTAGGACCGAAACCGACGGACCTGGACCCGCAAAAATGACGTCCGCGACGCCCTCTCGCGAACCGAAAAAGGCTAGCTCACGAATCGACATGTCAGGGTCGGAGGTCTATCGTACTCTCTGGCCAAGCCTCTGATGACCTGTTCCCCAACGCCGCCGCCGCTGAGGCAGGCGTGGGCCTGCAGGTCCGAAAAGTAGCCCAGGATATGAAAGCTGTAGACACGTGAAACGAAACGCTGGTATCGCCAACCCCCTGACTAGATCCTGTGGCGTTGCCACCCAAGCAAGCCGTCTTCAAGAAAATGGTCCACCTTCCTTCCACCGGCGTCACACCCACAGTGGTGGCAAAGAAAGGCGGAGCCCATGCCAGTGTACACCGCGCGCTCGAACATGTGGACCAGTCTTCGATAGTCCTTCACCACTGAACGATTGGGACGCAAACGCTAGGGCCCCGCCTCCGACGCTGTCCGAAAAACCTTGGCGACATGCTTCCGCACCGCGTGTCCGATCCGATGGCCATTGGATGCTCGAGCGAGTCCACCGCCGCCTTGTCAACAACCACTTCCCTGGCCCCAAACCAAGCAGCTGCCCCCGCAGTGCAAATGGCCAGATAGCGTTCCAGAAGTACGCCCGTCCTCTGGGCATCCTCGATAGCCTGGTGGCTCTCGATCTTGACCAGGCGGAGCAGATCCCGCCTACACTCGATGGAGGAGCCCAACTTCTGCCAGAGATCGACGTTGATCGCCCAGGCCTCCCCGAGAAAGTTTGGCCACACCTTGCACGACAGAAAGTGAGTCCGTGGCTTGTTTTGCAACGTCCCAGAAGGTCTCCCCGTGCCTTTCAACCAGGCCGTCAACTCACCCCGGTCGATGGTCTGCTCGCCTGCAGCGCCGCGACCGAGTCCACGCAGCAAATCCAGGCTCGGTGCCCCTTCGCGCTTACCCCTCGCCACAACCTCTTGAACCAGGTGAACATTGTTTCTGCGCCCCGTCGACGCAGAGCTCGCTTCGGACCCCTCGGCACAGTAGCGCCTTGATCGGCGCCCAGGTCAGTGGCCGCAGGTTTCAGCTTCGCGTCGCGGCCCTCGCCCGCGGAAGCATTCTGGAACTCTTTCCTCAGCGCGAAGCACGAGGTGGCAACCGAAGTTTCTCCGATGCCACGAACAAGTAACGCGCATCTGCATCAACTCATCGATCCTTCCAGACGGAATATATCAACTCATCAACTCATCATCAACGCATCTGCATGTAATAGATACCCACGGACGTATCATCGTGCCAGGGGCATCCACATCATAAATGGCGCATTTGGGCAAATCCAGAATTTCCCCGAGCCTCCCGCTCACGTTCAACTCCGACTTGCATCCATTGCCCGCGAAGGGGCGGGGCACTGCAAGATCATCTCCGAGCCCCAGATAAGAGGGGGGGATGAAGTTCGATGTTTTGTGTGTCTTTTTTTTTCATAACGCGCAATCCCACCAGCCCTTTAGGGCGTAGGTGGTCTAGAGCGTTTCCTCTGCCAACCCCTTTCTTTCCCTTCGTGGAGGGGTTTACCCCTCCCCTTACCCCTCCCCATCGACCTGGACGAGGGGTTCCGCGGGTCGTTGGGACGTCCAAGATGGCCCAAGGCGGCTCCAAGAGCGAAAAAGCGAACAAAACACAAAACATTAATTTTACTTTGGTTTTGGACAGATTTTGGCCTCTTGGGGGGACCCAAGAGGCGATTCGAGGTACTCTAGAGGGGCAAGGCTAATATACGACCCCTCCTTCTTTGATAGATCTCCTCCAACATGGCCCCAAGAGCGCCCCGAAGGCTCCCAAGAGCGCCCCAAGAGGGCCCCAAGAGGGCCCCAAGAGGCCCCAACAGGCCCCCAAGAGGCCTTCAAGACGCTCCCAAGAACCCCCCAAGAGGCCCCAAGAGGCTCCCAAGATGACACAAGACGGCTCCAAGAGCGAAACAGCGAAAAAGCACACAACATGGATTTTACCAAGGTTTTGGAAGAATTTTGGCCTCTTGGGGTGGGCCCGAGAAGCGATTCGAGGCACTCTAGAGAGGCAGCGCTAATATACGGCCCCCCTTCTTTGATAGATCTCCTCCAAGATGGCCCCACGAGCGCCCCGAAGGCTCCCAAGAGCGCCCCAAGAGGGCCCCAACAGGGCCCCAAGAGGCCCCGAGAGACCCCCAAGAGGCCTCCAGAAGGCTCCCAAGAGACCCCCAAGGGGCCCCAAGAGGCACCCAAGATGGCCCAAGACGGCTCCAAAAGCGAAACAGCGAAAAAACACAACACATTGTTTTCTTCAGTTTTTGGAAGGATTTTGGCCTCAAGACGTGCCTCAGAGGCGATTCGAGGCACTCTAGAGGGGCAGCGCTAATATACGACCCCGCCTTCTTTGATAGATCTCCTCCAAGATGGCACCAAGAGCGCCCCGAAGGCTCCCAAGAGTGCCCCAAGAGGGCCCCAACAGGCCCCAAGAGGCCCCAACAGGCCCCCAAGAGGCCTTCAAGACGCTCCCAAGAACCCCCCAAGAGGCCCCAAGAGGCTCCCAAGATGACACAAGACGGCTCCAAGAGCGAAACAGCGAAAAAGCACACAACATGGATTTTACCAAGGTTTTGGAAGAATTTTGGCCTCTTGGGGTGGGCCCGAGAAGCGATTCGAGGCACTCTAGAGAGGCAGCGCTAATATACGACCCCGCCTTCTTTGATAGATCTCCTCCAAGATGGCACCAAGAGCGCCCCGAAGGCTCCCAAGAGTGCCCCAAGAGGGCCCCAACAGGCCCCAAGAGGCCCCCAAGGGGCCTCCAAAAGGCTCCTAAAAGACCCCCAAGAGGCCACAAGAGGCTCCCCGATATACGCAAGAGGCCCCCGGGACCGCCAACAGGCCCCAAAGACGGCCCAAGAGGCCCCCAAGCTCGCCATTGTCCTCCTCCTCCTCCTCCTCCTCCTCTTCCCTCCTCATCCTCCTCCTCCTCCTCCTGTTTTTCCTCCTTCTCGTCCTCCTCGTCCTCGCAGTCCTCCATCTCCTCCTCCCCAACTTCCTCCTTCTCCTCCTCCTCCTGCTCCTGCTCCTCCTCATCTTCCTCCTACTCCGACGACGACGGCTCCTCTTACATCCTCCCCTTCTTGGGGCATATGGCGGCTCACCCCGCCCTTTGTTCTTCTGCATGCTCCCCGCTTCCCTCATAACCTCCACTCCCCTGGGGCTCATTTCTGGACGGGCTGGTGGGGATATTTTTTTGGTCGCGGCCACGAGACAAAGGTCAGGCGGCGAGAAGCAAAGTCCGGGACACGAACGAGGCTAATTAGCTACAGCAGGCACAGGCCGGCTGGCCCGCCCACAAAGCAGCCGCGAAGCTGAAGGGGAGCTGACGGCGGGGGTATCCTGCGAGCTCGAGCGCGTGCACAGACAACATGTAATGGAATTCGGAGCCTGCCACAGTATGAGACGTGAACCAGGATAACCAAGCCCGTCAATCTGAGTGAAGGCACGACCCACACGGCAGTAACGTGAACCAGGACGGTCAAGTCCGTCGGGCTGAATGGGAGCAAGTGGGAGGCCATTGGAGCGAGTCGCCAGTGGGGCGCCAGGCTCCACACGCCCGGACGATGAGCTAGCCAGAAAGGC